GAAAATTAAAAGCCGTATAAAAAAATCGTCTTAAAAGTGTCTTTTGCTTAAGATCTTAAACGTGACACAATAATTAATTAACGGACATTTTTAAGACAAAAAATAAAATTTTGAAATGTTTTAGATAAAAAACTTGGAAATATTTTGCGTTATTTTTTTACGTTTTTAGTTTAAATTTTTTAATCAACACCCACTTCATTCTGACCATAATTTTCTAAATAAAGTGCAATTTAGAAATTTTAGAGATAATATTAAGACTTAGTGTTTGAAATATCCACAACCTCGACCGCTAAAATTTTACAAAATTGTTTAAATGCGCTGAGTTTAATACTTTTTTAAAACTTCAAGTCTGGAATTTTTTTTTATCGATGGTCACTTTATTAATTTTGATCAGAATTCTGACTAAAATTTTCTTTAGAGTTGTTTAGACTTTTTTGAAATATCTAAATTTTAAGACGCTTTTATGAATCTTTTTAGACGTCTTTAAGATTTTTAAGAAATTTTTAAGGAATCTTTTAAGACTCTTTTAAGACACTTCTAAGGAACCTTTTAAGACTTCTTAAGATACTTCTAAGGAATCTTTTAAGACGATTTTAAGAGTCTTTCAAGATTCTTTAAAGACGCCTTTAAGACACTTTTAAGACTCATTTAAGACATTTTTAAAACTGTTTGAGGACATCTTTTAAGATTCATTTAATTAAGGCATTTTTTTTACTCTTTTAAAACGCCTATGAAGACTCTTTTAAGACATTTTTTGAACTCTTTTATGACACTTTTAAAAAATATTTAAGGAATCTTTTAAGACTCTTAAGACATTTTATAAGAGTTTAAAAAAATTTATTAAAATACTCCTAACAGCGTCATAAAAGTCTTATAAAATGCCTTAAGTCTTAAAAATTCTTAAAAGAATCTTCAAGGTGTCTTAAAAGACTCTTAAAAACGTCTTAAAAGATTCCTTAAAAATTTCTTAAAAGCGTCATAAAAGATTTCAGAAATTGTCTTAAAAGATTCTTAAAAGCGTCTCAAAAGATTCCTTAAAAATTTCTTAAGTGTCCTAAAAGAGTTTAAAAAATGTCTTAAGAGAATTTTCAAAACGTCTTAAAAGAGTAAAAAAAATGCCTTAA